TTCATTCACTTGCCCCATTTCTCTTCCCCTCCCCTCCCTCTCAGAAATCGGAGCTGGATGAATGGGCTGCAGCCATGAATGCTGAGTTTGAAGCTGCTGAGCAGTTTAATCTCCTGGTTGAATGAAATGAAGTGGGGGTAAACTGGTCAGACTCTCCCTTCCCTTCTGTATATACTTCCCTTTCAGTGGAAAAGACACCTGGCATCCCCTCTGTTGGCTTTGCTAGCTTTTAGGTGCCTCTCTGAGAAGCCTGTCTGTCTTGCCTCTCAGGGAAACTGTCTTGGTTTCAGAACTGGGCCCTGGTTGGAGCTGATTTCTCTCAGCAGTGTCCTGACCAGTCCTGCTGTCCTTCCTACTGCTCCAGCCTGGATATGAGAGGCTACCTCTGCTCTTAAGTAGACGTGGTTGCTCAAACCAGCCCAGACAGAAACAGGCCCCAAGAGGATGACCAGCTTCCGGCTGTCTCTAGTTGCTCTCTATTGGTGGCAGTGGTACTAGCCTGGAGCTGTTCTATATAAAGAGGTTTGGGATTCAATTCTGTGGATAATCCCAAGAGAGAATGCTGGGAGACAGTTCTGCTCATCAGGAAGAAGATAGATATTGAGCCCACAGAGCCCAAGTTCTAAGGGAACCTTGGCTGGGTTTCAGACTGTAAATACTTCCTAGTAGGAACTATGGTTTTGGTTTTGGGTTTTGGGTTTTGTTTTGTTTTGTTTTTATTGGTTACAGGGCTGTCCCTGAGTTCTTGCTCAAGACTAGCGCTCTGCCACTCTGAGCCACATTGCCACTTCCGGTTTCCTGGTGATTCATTGGAGATAAGAATCTCATGGACTTTGCTGCCTGGAGTGGCTTTGAACCATGACCCTCAGATCTCAGCCTCCTGAGTAGCTAGGATTACAGATGTGAGCCACTGGCACCCAGTAGGAGCTGTGTATCATACATCTGTATTCTGGTATTGAGCTTTTGCAAATGCCAGACTGGTGGAACACTGCTGCTAGGGACAAAGGGTGCCACTGGGTGCCATGGACTCCCTGTGCACTGGAAGCTGAGGCTTGGCTCTTGGCTGGTCCCTTGCGTAAGGGCAGGAGTCACCCATTTTTGTCACCCACCTCTTGTTTCTTTTTCTTTTTTGGCTATTCCTAGGGCTTGAACTCAGCCTGGGCACTGTCCCTGAGCCTCTTTTGTGCTCAAGGCTAGCACTCTACCACTTGAGCTACAGAGACACTTCCAGCTTTTTCTGAGTAGTTTATTGAAGATGAGTCTCGGACATTCCTGCCTGGGCTGGCTTCAAACCAAGATCCTCAAATCTCAGCCTCCTGAGTAGCTAGGATTACAGGTGTGAGACACCGGCACCTGGCTCCACTTCTGTTTCTTACAAATAAGCTACCTAGAGTCCTGGGAATGAGGATCCAAAGGTCACAGTGCCACCAACATTTTACAGTGACACTAGTAAACTTCCAAGCAGCTCTCCAGATGCCAGGAAGCTGCAAGGCTGATGGTGACTTTCACATTGAGCTTCCTTGTGTTCGGTGGGACCCCTGCCTAGGCAAGTGCTAGGAGTAGAAATGGGGTGGGGGTGGGGGGCAGGCTATCGCATTGTCTCTGGGGAATTGTCGCCACCACTCGTTTTCCTCAATTCTATTGGAAAGTTCTCTGTGTCCCCTGACTCCCACCATATCCATGCAGCTGCACTTTTGGTTTGCAACTTCACAGAAGTAGAAACTGAAGAGCGGGGGAGGGGCCGGAGGGGTACCAGCCTGGTGGGCACTGCTGGAGCCATCTCTGAGGCCTGGACTGTCCATTCAACGCCATCCTCTGTCTGGCTCTGCAAGCAAGTCTCCTGGCCAGAGTGAGGCAAGATGTCCTTGACTAGACCATAGTGGAGGAGCCCTGGTCCTCGACTGACGGGGTGGGACTTGGGAGTCCAGGAGTGGATCTCACCCCGTCCCAGAGGAACTGACCTTGCGGTGGAGGAGAACACGGGTTTTGTTTTGATTAAAGAGTTTCTCTGCTCATAGACTGCTTGTTTCATTGGGTGGAAGCCAGCATGGACAGTGTAAAGCCCAGGATGCCCAGCCTTCTTTAAGCCACATTACTGAAGCCGTCCCTTTGCCCTGGTCCATCCTTCCCCACTCTTAGATCTGTTTCTTCTCTAATCATTTGGGCCATCCTAGGAAGGACTGCCTGGATAGGAAAGAAACTGGGTTTGATTGTGGCTGCTAAGCCATCTCCTACCCTGGGGAGAGGTGTGCCACCAAATTCCCTGCAGAGCCAGCTCTGCTGCCTCCGCTTTCTTGGAAGGAGCCTGTGGCCCATGCTGTGGCTTAGCCTGGCTTCAGCACAGGAGTGAGTGTTGCGGGGGCCTCTAGGAGCTGCTCAGAGATGCCAGTTCCTGCCAATTCTCCCACTTGGTCTGTGGTGACCCCACCCCTTTGTCCTTTGGATGTGGGGCTAGAACTCAGGACCTAGGCACTCTCCTTGAGCTCTTTTGCCTAAGGCTAGCACTGTACTACTTGAAGCCACAGTTCTGCCATTTTGAGCCATGGTTCCACTTCCATTTTTCTGACGGTTTATTGGAGATAAGAGTCTCACGGACTTTCCTGCCTGGGCTGGCTTTAAACCATGATACTTAGATCTCAGCCTCCAGAGTAGCTAAGATTACAGGCATGAGCCACTTGTCAGATTGCTCCCTTCTCCCTAGTTTATTCCAGTGTCCTTGTTACTCCATTTGCTGTTTAGTAACCAATGTGGCCTAATGGTTAACACTATCTAGGGCAGCTCCCTCGGCCTCCTGCATCTGCATCTAGTCTTAAGTCCCTTGGGGTCCACTGGCCTTAAGGAGGCTCTGGCCCAAGGACAGGTGGTTCTCAGAGCCACTGGGCATAGACTAAGCTTTGTTCCTATCATGTAATCACACTACATGACTGGCAAGCCATTAATTTTTTTTTTTTTTTTTTGGTGGTCCTGGGGCTCGAACTCAGGGCCTGTCCTCTGTCCCTGAGCCTCTGTGTGCTCAAGACTAACACTCTACCTTGAGCCACAGTGCCACTTTCAGCCTTTCCTGTTTATGTGGCACTGGGGAATTGAACCCAGGGACTCATGCATGCTAGGCAAGCACTCTACCACTGAGCCACATTTCTGAGCCTATTTTTGGTTTTCTGGTGGTTAACTGGAGCTAAGAGTCTCCCTGGACTTTCCTGCTTGGGCTTGGATTGAACCACAATCCTTAGATCTCAGCCTTCTGAGTAGCTAAGATTACAGGCATGAGTCATGGACGCTCAACTCTTTCCATTGATTTGCTTCTGTGTCCATCTGACTTATATGGTGCTGGTGCTGGGGTTTGTGCTCAGGGCCTGGGCGCTGACTTCTAGCTTTCAGGTTTTTTGTTCAAGGATGGTGCTCTACTACTTGTGCCACATCTCCATTATCAGTTCTTTGCTGGCTAATTAAAAGTCCCATGGACTTTACTGACTAGGGGCTTCAAACTGGGATCCTCAGACCTCAGCCTCCTGAGTATTATAGATGTGAACCACCTGTGCCTGGCTTTGACGGATCATTTCTATAACCAAGAATGGAGGTTTTCTGCTTTCAAAACAAAACAAAAAAAAACTTGTAAGATCCTTAAAAAATTGTCCTCTCCTTAAGAAACAAAGAACTCCCACTCATCTGGTTGAACCACTACTAAATATCCCCATGCTGCTGATCACATATATGGTATATAACATGTGAACACCGTTATATATTACAGACTGTGATAGACAATTTGCTCCAGGAAAGTTAGAATGAACTTGTGACTTTAAATGAGCATCATTATTCCACAATACTGTGAATTTCCGGAAATTATGTAATCACTTAATCACAATAAAAAAAAAAAAAGAACCTCGGGGAAGGGAGGGAGGGAGGGGATGGTAGGGGGAAAACAATGGAAGGGGTAACAATGTTCAAGAGGAAGTGTACTCATTACCTCACTCATGTAACTGTAACCCTCTGTATAGTATCTTTACAATAAAAAACAAAAAAAAAAATTGTCCTCTCAATTCCATTCTCCCCATATACACTCAACTTGTATTTATAGGGAGTCAGTGTGCAAAATCTGTTTACATGTAGCTTTGGTAAGATGTTAGATGCCTAGAAAAATTGAATTTCAGATTCTGAATAATTGTGTGTGTGTGTGTGACAAATGAAGGCTTCATATATGCTACACAGCTTTACCACTGAGCTGCAGCCCTAATCCTAAATAATTTTTTTATTGCCTCCATATCCCAAATGTTTCAGACAATATATTCAAGAACTATTCATTTTTTTTCTTTTTTTTTTTTATTGTAAAGCTACTATACAGAGGGTTACAGTTACATGAGTGAGGTAATGAGTACACTTCCTCTAAGAACTATTCATTTTTAACATGAAATTGAGTTTAACTGGGCATGGTGTGTTGTATTGGTCCCTCTGGCAAGCTTGAGGGCTCTAGCTTGCTGGATGGCGCTGTTTTGGTACTGTCCCAAGGAAACCAGGTCAGGCTGGAAATAGCAAGGAGGTAGGATGGCACACGTAGGTCCCAACCAGGCCTGTGTCTTCCTCAGCCTTCCAGGGACAGTAGAAGAGTCCACTCTGGACAGGATGTGCAGCCTGTTGAACAGAAGTCTGAAGAATTTCAGGCCTCCAAGGAGTCAGACGAAGAGGTGACAACAATCCCTGGGTCCTCCCAAGGCAGGGGGCAGGGGTGGCAGGAGGGCTGGAGATGCTCTTCTGGCTGGGTGGAGACCTGAGCTCCCTTGGTCGCACCCTGTCCTGTCGCTGCAGCCTCTAGCTGCTGGGGAGTCTGAACACCTCCCATTCATACCTTGCGCTCCTCTCCCACCACCCTTCTTCCATGGGTGAGGGCGGGAGTGCAGGGTGGCCCTGAAAAGCAGGGAGACAGCAGTGGGAGGGAGGACCTAGGCTGCTGGGTGAGCAGCCTCATGCCGCTTCAGTCACTATGGCATCTTCTCTGAAAAGCCACCATCTGAAGATCAAATGCCAGACCTGCAGTCAGCACCTACTGTCAGATTCCTGTTTACACTCCTCAACACGCCCGAGACCAAGGACTCTGAGTCGTAAGGCTGGGGGAGCAGGTGGGAAGGCGGGGGGGGGGGGGGGCAGGGGGGACAGGGAAGAGCAGAGGGGACTTCCTTTCCCGTGGGAATACTGCTCAGCCCTGAGCTGTGCAGAGGTGACGCCTGTCTGGACTAAAGGAGCCCAGGTCTCAGGCTGGGCAGCCCCATTCACTCCCTACCCAACTTACCCTCACTTGAGGCTGACCGTGAATCACTTGCTCACTCTCCCAGAGACTCAGATACCCAGGATAATCAGTTCCTCGATCAGGACGACTGGGGTCCCAAACAAACCTCGAAGGAGATGAGGGAATTGCAGCATGAGTGCATGAGGTGAGAGGGGATGGGAGAAAAGGGGCATGTTGGATGACAGAATGTCCCCCACTGCTGCTGGCCTGATTCTTTTTGTTGGTTGGTTTTCTTTTTTGGTGGGGGGTGGGGGCGGGGTCCGGTCATGGGGCCTGAACTCAGCCTGGGCGCTGTCCCTCAGCTCTTCAGCTCAAGGCTAGCACTCTACCACTTGAGCCACAGCACCACTTCTGGCTTTTTTTTTTCTTTTCTGCTTATGTGGTGCTGAGGAATCAAACCCAGGGCCTCAAGCATGCAAGGCAAATGCTCTACCACTGAGCCACCTTCCCAGCCCTTGTTGGTTAGTTTTTGTGCTGGTACTGGGGTATGAACTCAGAACCTGTATCCCGTCCCTTGGCTTTTTTGCTCAAGGCTGGCTGACACTCTACCACTTGAGCCACAGTTGCACATTCAGTTTTTTAGTGGTTAGTTGGAGATAAGACTCTCATAGACTGTCCTGCCTGGGCTGACTTTGAACCCTGATCTTCGGATCTCAGTGTCCTGAGTAGCTAGGATTGCAAGGTGTGAGCCGCCAGCACCTGGCATTGGGCAGATGCTGTAGGTTGGTATCCACATGCTGTGCTTTTCCCTTGCCTGTACTGAGTCTGTCAGCGTGACCTTGCCATCACCTTCCCAACAGCAGTGTCCTCTCATACCTCATGGGTGTGGGGACCCTGGGCTTCTCTTTCCATCATGTGTGTGTCCACGTTGCCTGGCAGGTAGGAGACCAGTAACTGCATTATCAGGGATCTTTTTCCTTTTTGTTGTGCTGGTCATGGAGCTTAAACTTAGTGTCTGGGTGCTGTTCCTGAGCACTTATGTGCAAGCCTAGAGTTCTATTGCTTTGAGCTAAAGCACCATTTCTGGTTTTGTAGTGGTTAATTGGAGATGAGAATCTCATGGCTGGCTTTGTTTGTTTGTTTGTTTTTGGGTCCGGTCGTGGGGCCTGAACTCTGGGCCTGGGCGCTGTCCCTCAACTCTTCAACTCAAGGCTGGCACGCTATCACTTGAGCCACAGCACCACTTCCGGCTTTTTTCTTTTTGCTTATGTGGTGCTGAGGAATCGAACCCAGGGCCTCATGCATGCAAGGCAAGCGATCTACCACTGAGCCACCTTCCCAGCCCTCATGGCTGGCTTTGAACTGAGATCCTCAGATCTCAGCTCTTGAGTAGCTAGGATTACAGGTGTGAGCCAGCACTGCTCAGCAAGAAATGGATACATTATTAAATGCTTATGACATACCAAAATGAAACAAGATGAAAAACAACCTAAACAGGTCTATAATTTGTAATAAGATTGAAGCAATAATAAAGAATCTTCCAAAGCTAGGCACTGGTAATGGTAGTTACTTAAGAGGCTGAGATTTGAGGATTGTGGTTCAAAGATAGCCCAGTAAAATCTGTGAGACTTTTATCTCCAATTAAACACCAGAAAACCAGAAGTGGCACTTTGGCTCAAAGTGGTAGAGCACCTTGAGCAAAAGGTGCCCAGAACTAAGATTCCCTACTGAATTCTATCAGACCTCTAAAGCACAGCAATTCACCCCAACTCTTCCATAAAACAAGAAAAGAAGGATTCTTCCAAACTCATTTTACAAAACCAGGATCACCCTGATACTGAAAGTGAACAAAGATACAACAACAACAAAGAAACTGGGACAATTTCCCTGATGAACATAGACACAAAAATTGTTCAGAAGATTCTTGCAAGGCCCCGGTGGTTCATTGTTGTAATCAGGAGCCTGAGATCTGAGGTTCATGGTTCCAAACCAGCCTGGCAGACAAATCTATGAGACTCATATCTTTTATTTTTATTCATTTTTTGTTTTTGTTTTTTGGTTGGCTGTGGGGCCTGAACTCTGGGCCTGGGTGCTGTCCCTCAGCTCTTCAGCTCAAGACTAGCATTCTACCACTTGAGCCACAGCACCACTTCCGGCTTTTTCTGCTTATGTGGTGCTGAGGAATCGAATCCAGGGTCTCATGCATGGGAGGCAAGCACTCTACCACTGAGCCACCTTTCCAGCTCCGACTCATATCTTTTAACAAGCAAAAAGCCAGAAGTAGAGCTATGACTGAAGTGGTAGAACACCAGCCTTGTTGAAAAAATACTAAGGAGTAGTACCCAGGCCCTGAGTTCCAGCTCTCATACCAACTCTCTCTCTCTCTCTCTCTCTCTAAAAAAGAGGGAAGAAAAGGAAGAAAAAGCTGGATTAATTCCTCTGGGGACTGACCCTAAATCTTAATGTAATTTTGATTTTTATTTCCGGGGCTGAGTCACATGGGCAGGACAGTTTCTTCTCTAATGGTATGTCATAAAGATGGGGCTCCTAGTGAAACCCTGGTCCCTGTGGCTGCTGCAGGAGATGGGAGGGTGGAAGTTGCTTGGGGAGAGCCTGCAGGGTTCAGGGGGTCTCTGTGCACTTTAGGCTTCTGGATGCTGTGAGCATTACCCAGATGGAAAACCTGGCCTTGAAGGAGAAGCTGCAAAGCCTGGTGAGACTGACCCTCTGTCCAGGAATCTGCTTTGACATGGCTTCCTCCCACCCCACCCACCCCACCCACCCCAGTGCTTCGGGAGCATAGGCAGTCCTGTGGCTCAGCTGCGCCCTTCCACCCTTTGTTCCAGTCTACTACTTTGTACCAGAGCATGAAGGAAGAAGTCCTGGCCTTTCAGGAGGAAGCTAAGATGGCTCTGGAGGAAGAAACTGATAATGATGACAGTGGTGATGATGGTGATGATGATGATGATGATGACGATGACGACGACGATGATGATGATTATAGTGATAGATGACAAAGAGGAGGGGGCACCTGTGCTGTTCCAGGTGCCTGTCTAGTCTTGCTCACAAGAGCCTCCCTCACCTTTCCCTGCCACAGCCCACCTGACCTTCCTCGTGTCCACAGTAACCACAGCCAGTCCTGGACAGACCCCAGCCAGGGATACCTCCTGGAGAAGCAGATGCCTCATTAGGTCTCGGCAATAAAGTCTGCCTGAAATTCAGCTCACCACGCGCCTGTGGCCTTGTGAGGTTCAGGAGACTTTGACCAGTGCATGGGGTGTGAAGGAATTCACCAAGAGGCAGAGGAGCAAGCAGAGGCAAAGGGAGGAAAGGGTGGACACAGCAGGTAGTGTCTGCTCTGAGTAGGGTTGGAACTATTTGCTGCTGTTGTTGATTTGGGGCTTGAACCCAGGGCCTAGGAGCTGTCCCTGAACTTTTTCCACTCAAAGCTAGTGCTCTACCACTTTAAGCCACAGTGCCACTTCCGGTTTTCTGGTGGTTAATTGGAGATAAGAGTCTCATGGACTTTCCTGCTGGGCTGGCTTTGAACTGTGACCCTCAGATCTCAGCCTCCTGAGTAGCTAGGATTACAGGAATGTGGCTCAGTGGTAGAGTGCTTACCTAGCCCTGGGTTGGATTCCTCAGTCCCACATACACAGAAAAAGTCAGAAGTGGTGCTGTGGTGCTCAAGTGGTAAAGTGCTAGCTTTGAGCAAAAGAAGCTCAGGGACAATGCCCAGGCCCTGAGTTCAAGCCCTAGGACTGGCAGAGAAAAAAAAAAAGCTATAAGTGGAGCTGTGGCTCAAGTGGCAGAACACCAACCATGCATGAAACACCGAAGGGACAGGGTGCACACATGTACACCAAGCAAGACAAGATGGGGAGTTTTTATTGTTCAGGTTCTAGGGCTTGAACTCAGGGCCTGGCACTGTTCTTGAGCCTCCTTTGCTCAAGACTGATGCTCTACCACTTGAGCCACAGCACCATTTCAGCTTTTTCTGAACAATTTATTGGAGATAAGAGTCTCACAGACTTTCCTGCCCAAGCTGGCTTTGAACTGAGATTCTCAGCAGCTCCTGAGTAGTTGGGATTATAGGTGTGAGCCACCAGCACCTGGCCTAGATCTTTTAATGCACAGAGTCCCCCAGATCTGCTCTAGTGTAAGGACACCTGTGTCAGTCCTGAGCTGCACCTGTGTCCCCCTCAGGCACTGGGCTGGTGACAAATGATCTAGTGCACAGTGGCAGCCCCACTGCGTGCATTCTGCTCCCAGCAGGGTGATCTTGACCCAGGGACTGGACTGGCTTGTCACCTGTAACGTGGTGGGGCCCAGTGTGTACCCCTTGGGTTCTTGGCAGCCTGGGTTGGTGGCTTCAGCTGCTCTGGAGAAACAGTTTCTATCCTTCCCTTCCCAGCAGCCCCTGGGGCCCTTCAACGACTCTCTGCCCCAGTGGGCAAGTGGCCAGGTTCCACCGCCTGGCAGCACCATCTACATTGCGCTAATCTTCAGAAACACCTGGCTCTAGATCCACAATCTCAGTTCCTAGAGAGCACCTGTACCTCTGCCCTGTCCCTCCAGCCTGGTCAAAGCTGGCTCGGCAGCCCTGTGGGCTATCCCGGATGGGTATCTGTCAGGGGCTCCAAGACATCTTTTGTATCTTCTGTGATTGTTCCTGACAACTCCCTGGACACCACAGCTGGAACAGGAGTGTCGCGCGTGTTGGTGCCATCTGGCTTTCTCTCCAGAGAAAATACATGAGGAAGTGGTGCTGTGCTCAAGTGGTAGAATGGTAGTCTTGAGCACAAAGAAGTTCAAGGCCCTGAGTTCAAGCCCCACACCAAAAAAAAAAAAAAAAAGCTGGGCGCCAGTGGCTCACACCTGTAAGACTGAGATCTGAGGATCGCAGTTCAAAGCCAGCCTGGGCAGAAAAGTCTGTGAGACCTCTTATCTCCAATAAACCACCAGAAAACCAGAAGTGGCGCTGTGGCTCAAGTGGTAGAGGGCTCGCCTTGAGCTGAAGAGCTGAGGGACAGCACCCAGGCCCAGAGTTCAAGCCCCATGACCGACAAAAAAAAAAAAAAAAAAAATAAGCACCCCTGCCTTCTTGGGACTGTGTTCCCCACAGTGGGGGAAGCAAGTCCTGGTGATGTCGGAGGGTCAGGAAGAAAGGCAACTGTGGGGTGGCCAGGACAGGAGAGCGCCTTGAGAAATGACATTTGAATAAACACGTGAGGGGCCTGAAGGAGGGGGCGGGGCCCCCAAAAGCACAAGCAGCAGATACAAAGGTGCTGGGTCAGGAGGTATCTGGAAGGTTCAGGAAATCATTGGAGGCCTGAGAGGCTGGAGAGGTGAGCAAGTAAAATAGGGAGGCAAAGGGAAAGAGGAGAGCTGGGAGTCATGGCTCAAGCCTGTAATCCCAGCTACTCAGGAAGCAGGGAGCAATTGGAGGATCAAAGTTGGAGACCAACCCTGGGCAAAAAGAAAAGACCTGGCTCAACAGACAAGTACGGTATAGTGACTCACATCTATATTCACTGTTATTTGGAGGAGGACTTCAGTCTGAGTCCAGCCAGGGAAAAAAGGTGAAATCCTATCTGGGGAAAAAAAAAAAAAAGAAAGGCAAAGATCTGGAGGGCCGGCTTAAGTGCTGGAGCACTAGCAAAAGCAGAGTTTGAGAGGTGGACATACCTGTAATCCCAGCACCGGGAAGGCTTATCTGGAGGCCAGAGAAACCCTGTCTCAAAAAAAGCCAGGCACTAGTGGCTCTCACCTGTAATCCTAGCCACTCAAGGGGCTGAAATCTGAGGATCACGGTTCCAAGCCAGCCCCAGCAGGAAAGCCTGAGGCTCTTTATCCACTTAATCACCAAAAAATTACAAGTACAGCTGTGGCTCAAGTGGTAGAGCACTAGCCTTGAGCACAAAAGCTCAAGGACAGAGTGCCAAGGTCCTGAGTTCAAGCCCCAAAACTAGCACACATGAACACCTTCCCCCCCACCACATACACACACACATATGAAAGAAGGAAAAGAAAGAGCCGGACACTGTGGCTCATACCTGTAATCCTAGCTACACAGGTGGCTGAGATCTGAGGATTGTGGTTCAAAGCCAGCCCAGGCAGGAAAGTCCATGAGACTTTTTTTTGGTAGGTTGTGGGGCTTGAACTCTGGGCCTGGGCGCTGTCCTTCAGCTCTTCAGTTGAAGGCGAGCACTCTACCACTTGAGCCACAGTGCCACTTCTGGTTTTCTTCTGGTGGTTAACTGGAGATGAGTCATAGACTTTCCTGCCTAGGCTGGCTTTGAACCATGATCTTCAGATCTCAGCCTCCTGAGTAGCTAGGATTACAGGTGTGAGCCACTGGCACCGGTTTCCATTGAGACTCTTATCTCCAATAAACTCTTCAGAAAAAGCTGGAAGTGGAGCTGTGCTCCATAGAGTGCTAGCCTTGAGCAAAAGCAGCTCAGGAACCAGTGCCTAGGCCCTAAGTTCAAACCAAAAAACAAATGAAACAAAACAACCCTCAGAGACTCCACACAGGCCCTGAGTGATGTGGAAAATGATCAAAGGGGTTGAACTGTGTGCCCAGGGTAGAGCAAAGCCAAGGAGATGAGCCAGCGCCAGGAGCTGGAGTATGGAATTTTCCTGTGACTTCTCTAGTCTTGATGACACAGGAAGTAGATTGGTAGTCGGGTGGAGAGGAAGTGTTGTACTGGAGGGGAGGGCCACACAGTGGGCCAGAAGGGAAAGAAGCGGAAAGCAACGGGTCCTGGGAGCCAGCAGCCATGGGAAGAAGGTGGATGCTTATAGGCTTTAGCTAAATGAGGTGGTTTCCATTAACAATCACATTCTAGAATGTTCAGAGAGGCCCCATACATCCTACCCAGTCAATGTGGGAGAAGGAAAAGTGACCCAAGTTCATGGCGGATTTTTTCTTTTTTCTCTTTCTTTCTCTTTCTTTTCATTTCTTTCTTACTTCCTTTCTCTCTCTCTCTCTCTCTTTCTTTCTTTTTCCTTCTACCTATCTTTCTTTCTTTGTTTTGGTGCTGGTGCTGAAGCTTCAACTCTGGGTCTCAACTCTTGCTTGGCTTTTTCACTCAAGGCTGGTTCTCTCCCACTTGAGCCATACTTCTACTTCTAGCTTTTTGATGTCACACACTTTCTTATCTGGGTGGGCTGGCTTGGAATAGTGATTCTCAGATGTCACAGGCATAGGCCCGTCTAGGACAAGTTCTGGAGTGTCACCTAGATAGACATTCATACATTGCCCTTTCCTCCCCTCCCCCCCCCATCCTGGAGCTTGAACTCAGGGCCTAAGCACTGTCCCTGAGTCTCTCTGTGCTCAAATCTAGCATTCTACTACTTGAGCCACAGCACCAGCTTGTTCTGTTTATGTGGTACTAAGGAATTCATCCCAGGGCTTCACGCATGCTAGGCCTCAAACATTCTCAAATGCAAACCACCCTTAACAGCACAGTGACCCGCTCAGGCGGCTTACACACGTGTCCAGGTGTTCAAAGGACTTAGTCCTCCCAGGAGAGGGTGGAGCTGCTGCCTCTAGTGTCCTCTTCTCATCTTATCAGGTGACCTGGGCAACCATCCTGTTATCATGAGCAAGAGACCATCCTTGTCTTCATGAGCAGGTGTGTGCTCCCTACAGATGGGCTTCTGATAAGATCCAAGGCCATACTCAAGATAGAGCTGATAATCAACTCCCTGCCTGCCTCTGCTGGACTCTGTTACCCCCTTGCCGGGCACAGACCTAGCATGACTAAATAAACATATGCATACACAGTGAAAGAGTGAATAAAAGAGGGACAGAAGGTGGTGGGAGGGAGAGAGGGAAGAAGAGAGGGAAGAGGGTAAAGGGACAGGTGGATGCGTGGATGAATTCCACATCAAGCCAGGAGATGGAGGACAAATTCACCTTTGGATATGGGTTTACTGATTTAGCCTCAGAAATGCCCTCAGAGCCCCTCCTCGCCATTTCCTCCAATAAGCTGAAACTCTTCACAACAGAACCAGAATATTTTTTGTGGGGCTTGAACTCTGGGCCTGGGCACTGTCCCTCTTCAGCTCGAGGATGAGCGCTCCATCACTTGAGCCACAGCACCACTTCTGGTTTTCTGAGTGGTTTATT